GATACTAGGATTTCACGCCCTGCCAAAAATCATTTGACATACAAAAATGTTTAAAATATCTTTTAAAATACTTTATCTTTTCAATATCTTATATTTTATAACAAAATATTTCTTCACTGAAGTTTTCCTTTGATGACTTGACCATAATTTAGGTCTCTTGGGGCCCCATCCCATTCCAGTTTAAATCAAAGCCAGTTTTGCTATCAACTAGAAGGGCAGTGGGATCTGGCCCAAATGTTTGATTCAGTGAACATTTACCAATTTATTTGTGAAATTCTTAGTTGTGGTGACAGAATCCACACAAAGAGCTTAAAGCTCAAGGGCAAGATTAACTGTGCATCCTGATATTAATATATTTACCAAGTAATAAAGCAAACTACAAAATAGAAGGAAAAATGGCTTCCCTAAGGTGGCAAAGTTATTGAATGTTTTGATTAGACTTTACATCTTCAAGGCAGTTTAAAAAAATTTACTAATTATTTCTCAGAAAAACCCAAGAGGCAAAAGAGTTCAAGCTGCATATAATACTTGCAATGAAACCTGAAGCCATAGACATTTTTTCTGCTTTAATGTTTCATTATAAACATGACACTCTGGTCAAATCCATTAACCTTTTGAATGAATTAAAGCTCTTTTTCTATCAAAAATCTTATGAAGTTCATGTTTTTAGCTCTGTAAATTCAAGTGGAAAGTTATGAGGTTCACTGAGTTTTACTATATTGGGCTTTTTGCAAACTTGAAATCCAAAACAAAACTAGGGGGTAAATGTGTGCATGTGCCTAGGTATGTGTGATATTTTTTTTTTCCTGTGACTGAAGCAGCAAATGTTAATGATGGCCCTTGTGAAGTAAAGCACAAGTTGCATATGAACTTAGGGAAAAATAACGAACACCTAGCGAACAATTATTATCTGCCTCAGAAAAATGGGACACACAGTTCTGGATATCTGAGATCAGGTAAGCAGCATGTCTTTCACTGCTCCAGCCTATAAGTAAATCACTAGTACCCTTCCTACTGGATGGCAGGATTACAGGATTGTAAAGCTCGGGGCTTCACACCTAGAGAAGGGCCTGATGGAGTGGTGAGTCTGAACAGTGGACTGTAACAAGTGACCACTGCCTTAATAAAGAAAGTGTACATGGCCTCATTTGTGGGGGAAAAAGACAGATCCTCTAGACCAGGGGTTGTCAGCTGGGGGTACACATACCTCTAGGGGTACTTTGAAAGGTCCTAGTGGGAACGTGTAGGTAGGCAGGGACAGAGTGCTGTCACCCACCACCCCATGCCACCGCTGTCCAGGAGCAGAGCCGGGGTGGGGACGACATGACACAAGGAGCACAGTGCCACTTTGCGGGCTGCACAGACACCACCTGGCCGGCCAGACATGGGAGGGGGGGAAGCTTGCATGTGGCAGCTGCCTCCACTGTCCACTGTCCCGCACTGCTGCCATGCGCTGCTTTCCCACAGCCAGTCACACATGTGGCTGTGCGGGCTGCTGGCAGACAGTGCAGAATTGGTCAGGTGCAAGGCCCGTCAGCAGCCCACAGAGTCACATGTGCAACTGGCCATAGGAAAGCAGGGCATGGCAGTGATGGCACAGGGCAGTGGGTAGCCTGGAATGGAAAAAGTTAGGACAGAGGCTCCCAAACTTTTTATTGCATACCCTCTTCCAGATGTACTTGTTGCTCCATACCCTGCTAGCATACATTTTATATTTTAACCCCTTAAATGCCAATTATTGTTATAATTAAAATCAAATCTGCCATTACATAATTTCTCCTGCAACCTCCCCCCGGCTTTGATATCTTGCATACTTCTTTGCCTTCATTTTCCCTTCACTGGGTCTTTCCCCAGTCCAGCTATCTCCCTGGGAATGTTATTTGCAGAAAAAATTACTTTCCGTTGATCTTTCATGCACAAAGCCTCACTCCCATATATAATTGTGGGTCTAACAATAGCAAAGTGGAGGGATGTAATGGACCCCATACAGCTCCTCACAGTTTTGAATATCTGGGCTAGCAGTAAAGTTAATAGGAGCCCAGAAGCTAAAGACATGTTGGCAGAATGAAATAGTCTGGGGTGGGGACTGCTCTTCCCCACCAAGCCTCACTCCTATACATTACTATAGGCCTACCAATTGTGAACCAGAGGGATATAATGGGCCCTGTACAGCTCCTCAGTCTTGAATATCTGGAATGGAAGTAAACTTAATAGGAGCCCAGAAGCTGATGACATTTTGGCAGAAGGAAATAGTATGGGGTGGAGACTGCTCTTCCCCCCGCCACTCTCCCAAGCCTCCCTCCCTACCTCACTTGGGATCTGAGAGAGCCATTGTACAGCCCCCTCTGAAGGAAAAAAGAAACAGATCTTTCCCAACTCCTCTCATTTTGGTTGAGGTGTGTGGGGTGGGGGGACACAAACTATTACAGGAGGAGGCCAGCGTCTCCTCAGCCCAGGCTGGCAGCCTCATATAGGGCCACCCTTCCCCTAAACAGAGTCATGGCATGGTCACGTTGGTATGGACTGTGAGGGTTTTTGCTCTCCTCTGTAGCAGGGGGCATGGCTCTCTACCTGGGACCTCTTGAGCATATATCGACAACATTTTATAGAAGGAGGACATTGGCTGCTGCAGCTCCCCTGCTTTACCGGTAGCAGGTGAGGGTATGAGGTCTATGTTGTGTCAGGGCTAGGCTGAGTTTAGATCACTAGGAGGGTAGTAAAACACCAGAACAGGTGGTACCCAGAGAGGTGGTGGACTCTCCATCCCTGAGGGTTATTAAGACCCGGGTAGACAAAGGGTTTGCTGGGATGATCTAATTGGGGCTGGTCCTGCATTGAGGCAGGGGTTGGACTAGATGACCTTCTGAGGTCCCTCCCAACCCTCACTTTTCTATGATTTCTATGGTTTGGAGAGGGATGCCCCTGCCTCAGGCACGGGGTGCTAGATGATCCATCAGTGGCAACGCGTAGGGGGTGCATGTGCACCCCCTGACAGCCAGTGCTCTCTGCTTAGGTGACGGGCAGCAAGGGGGGAGGCGGGAGCGCCGGTGCCCCACCTGTGAGCGCCGGCTGGGGATTGGGGGCACCAGGAGCGGCAGGGAGTGGGTGCCCCGCTCGTGCTTCCCGGTTGGCAAGATCAGCCATGTGGGACCACTCCCCAGTTGGTGAGATTGGCCGCATGGGCCCCCCCTGTTGCTGACTGACTGCTGGGGGGGCATGTGCCCCCCTGACTCAGGAGGCACCAGTTGCCCATGTGAGCCATGGAGGTCCCTTCCAGCCCTGCTTCTCTAGGACTGCATTTCTCAATCTGTAGGTAATGACCCAAAAGTGGGTCACAAGAATATATGAAAGGGTCACAAACTTTAAAAATGGATCAACAAGCTTTAAAAAGCCTTTAAAGGAGAAAAATGTGGCAACCTGTGGGTTTTTTCCTCGAGGCTGGCAGCTTGGGGCTGCCTGGGCCCTCCTGCGACCCACACATACCCTCCCTGGGTATGAGTGGGTCATGTGCTGGGGCAGGAGCCAGCGGTACTAGGTTGGGTGGGGGGCAGGGGCAGGGGCGAGGGGCCCCGGTCATGGATGTTTACAACTGGTCCTGGTGCAAGTCCGGTGTGGAAGCGGCGCCTAGGACCGCAACAACCTGCCCCGGCGCGGGGCGGCAGTGCCCAGGTGCCCGCGCACAGGGCGGGGGAGGCTCCGAGCAGCCCCGGGGCGGCTGGCGCGGGGTATAAGGCGGGAGGCGGCGGCGCGGCGGGGAGGGCGGGCGGCGCGCAGGGGGG